CAGGACCAAAGTTGCCTTAAAAGATACAGCAGCAAGGAAGGTACAGGGTCTGGAGGTATCTAAAATTTGTTGTCATTTTTTTCTTTTTAAGAACAGATCATCTCTCTGTTGACTTTAGCTATTATGTCTTTTAATATCATCTTGTTCTTCTCATTCATTCCACACACACTTACTGGGGTTCACTGTACCTGTGAGGGGTACCATGGGGGAAAACCTCAATGAACAAGAAACATGTTTAAGACATATTTGCTCCTGCCCATGATAACAAGCAACTGCAGTGAGAGTTCTGAGAAAAGGCCCATCCCACAGGTGGAGAGAATCAGGGAAAACTTCCTGTAGGAGACACTGTTAGATCTGGACCTTGAAGGGTGGACGTAGGATTCAAATATACTGCCATGGGAGAGACAGGAAGGATATGGGAAAAAACCAAGAGTTCCAGAGTGTCTGCAGACAGGGCCCAGCCCAGGTCACCATTTTCACCTCCTTGATACTTGCATGGCATTTATCTGAGGCTAAGTGAAACTGTTAAGCGCTCTCTCTCTCTCTGTTGGAACAGTTGGTAAACATCTTAGTGCTTTTTTAAGATCTACTACACTAAAATGTCTCTGTTTGAAACAATTACTGTGCCCACCACACACCTTGAGATAAATTAATCCATGAACACATGCCAGCTCCTAATATCCTTTTAAAAAGCAGACACTGAGGTTGTTGGGTGCTTCTTTACTATAGAAAGGCAAAAAGGCATTCCAGAGAAGCATTTCTGTCAGCCCAGAATTCAAGGAATCATAGCTGCTATTTATAAAATACCTCCTTTGTGTCAGCCACTCTGCATATACCCTCTCTCACCAGCCCTTGCAAAAACGCTGGGGAGTCACCATTGCCATCGCCACTCTGCAGATGCAGAAACAGGCTCAGAGTGGTTACATGATTGTTCAAAGTCTGAACTATCTGGCAGAAGAGGTAGACACAGAACTGTGATCTAGGTCTGACACCAAAGACCACATTATTCTGCTATTTTTTCATGTGTGCTGGACAATGAAGGGCCCTATTCTACACTCTCTTCTGTCCCGAGGTCTCAGTTCCTTTGATCTATAGCTCTGTTTATCCTGGTCATTAGCACTCTGTGGGGCACTCTTCACTCTAACCCCTTGGCTGCCTCTGATCTGGCAGCCCGGTGCGCTCAGCTCTGACCAGGTGGCAAATCCCTAGGACAGCAAATCCTCAAGGGCCTCCTTGCCAGTCAGGGATCGCTACCACTTCTTGTCCCTAGCAAGGCACTGAGGTCCATATATGGAACTGAGTTTCTGCAGGCAGGCAGATTTGCCTGCGGATCCTGGCTCTCCTGCAGTCTGGCCAAGGGCTGTCCAAACACATGGTCTAGGCAGGCGCTCCTTCATCCCCTGAAGAACAGGGCTTAGTGAAAAGGATGTAGGGCAGGGCTTGGGGGGCATGTGGTCCTGGGTTCAACCCCTTGCCCTGCCACATCCTGCCTGTGGGATCTACACAAGTCCTCAAACCTCAGTTTCAATGTCTATGTAGACTCAACACAGTCACATGTATCTTGCAGGGCTTGCTGCAGGCATAAGAAGAGCCTGGCCCATACTAGTGACCAACTGGTAGTTCTTTTCAACTTCTGCCCGCTTCTTAACTGGATCAGGTGTGCCTCATTCACCTTTGTGTCTGCAACAGCCGACACATGGTGGACCACACAGTAGGAGCTCATAAAACAGGATGAATCTTGAACTCCATCCTCCTTCCACCTCAAAAGTCTAGGGCAGGGATTGGCCAACTATGGCCCCAGGACAAATCTAGACTGCTATTTTATTTTTTTTAAATAAAATTTTTATTGAAATATATCCATGCTCCTTCACTTGCACATCGTCTATGGCCGATTTCCTGTTACAACAACAGAGTAGATGCAACAGAGACCATATGTCCACAGAGCCAAAAATATTTACTACTAGAGCTCCTTATGGAACAAGTTTGTGGACCCCTGAGCTTATGCATAGGATCTTTCAGTGCAGGGAGACCCCTTGGGGACCTCTTTGTTTTGGGGAAAAAGAAGTTCCTCTGCTCCTTCCCTACCCACACTTTATAGCCTCTTTCCCTGGTTTATCTATCTTTTTTCCTTCACTCTTACACCATTCCCTAATATCTATGCCACTTTTCTTATACATGTTGTTTATTCTCTATCTCCTCTATTAAAAAGCTTCATGTGGGCAGGGAGTTTCGTTTGTTGTGCTAACGCTTACATGCCAGTTAGGGCCAGAGCCCGGCACACAAATGGGAACCCCACATATACCTGTTGATTGAATAAACATGGATGTCACTGAAAAGATTATTCAGCCAAAGCATGTTGGAGGGTTTCTCTTTCATGGAAGATTCTGGGGCTTTTAGAGGGACCCAGTGGCTCTTCAACCCCGGGGGAAGGGTATTACTTTTCCTATTTTATAGATGAGGCAACTGAGACTCTGGCTATGTCAATGCTTCTCAAACTTTCACGTGCAATGCGAGTCGCCTAGGGCTCTTGTTGCAATGCAGGTTCTGATTCAGGAGGTGTGAGCTGGCACCCTCGTGCTGCAGTTCTAACACACTCCGGGTGATGCTGCTGGTCTACGGACCACACCTGGGAGTAGAGAGGGTTGAAGGCACCCACCCAGGGTCCATACCTAAGACTTGGGGGAGTGGAGTTCTGAATCTGGAAATCATGGAGGTCAGCATTTCTCTTGTGTTTCCTTTATTCCATCTCCATGCACCTCTCCATCCTATGGTCTCACAGAAGCCATCGTGCCTCCCCAGTGGGGCTGCTCCCTGTCCCCAGACCTTCTCTTCCATAGCTGCCAGCATCTTCAGGCTCTTCCTTCTGCAAAGGACTTCTCCCCTTGATTCTGAAGGTTCTCCTCATATCTCTCTGTCTGCTTTGCCAGTTCTCCTCTGAATTGTTAACCATGGTCAGTCCCTGAGCTGGCATGAGTTTCATGCTCTAAGATCTCTGACTTAGAACTCCTAAGTTTGCACAACTTAAAGATCCCTGTGTATCACTGCACCTTGAATTACAAGTACTTGAGGTCTGTCCCCTATACTCTCACACTGTGATTTGATTCTATCACAGTGCCTGGTATGAAGTGGGCATCCAAAGACAGGTCTAAGTACCATGGCTAACGGACAGAGGAGGTTGAGGTGCCCAGAGGCTGTGATGGGTCATTGCATGCCCATACCTACTGTGGAACACTGATGCCAGAAGAACCTCTAGAAGATCAGAGGAGCTCCTCGGGGCCACCACTACTGTCCTGACCCCTTATGCTTTCTGAAGGGGTAAAGAAAGAAAACTAACATTTTGTGAGAGCCAACTGTGTGCTAGGCATGTTACAAGATCCCTCATTCCCTGAGTTAGGCACTATGACCCCTATTTCGGAGTTAGGAGAAATAAGGCTCAAGGAGTTCAGAACATTTTCTCAAGGTTTCATAATGTGAGTGACAAAGATGTGACTTGAACCCAGAACTTCATGACTCCTAAAGCTCATTCTCTTTCTACCACAGCAACAACACCCCACATTGTTTTAACCTCTATGCCTTTGCAGATGCTGTTCCCTCTGCTTAGAATTCTTATTTCTTCAGTAATAAATCCATCTCTATAAACGCTGGTAACTATCCCTTGCCCCATTAAAAAATTAGTCATCCAAGTAAGCGCTCCTATATCAGAGTACATATAGGCACCTCTCAGCTGACATTTCAAGTATTTGGTTTTATCCTAGACCCCAGAGAGGCTTGAACACTAGGAGGGTGGGGCTCAAAGTCCTGGACATCTTTCCATCCACAGTGTCTGGAACATAATGAGCATGTTCAATGCATGTTTGTCAAATGAATGAATGAATGAAAAAATAAAGCGAGTTCTCTGATACTTTTAGTGTTGGTGGTAGGAGTCCATTGGTTCCTATATAACATGATGGCAGTGGTACCAGAATCTTATCTGCTCGTTGCCTGGCCTATTGACCTGCGACCCAAACACTGAGCAGAGGGGATGGGAGAGCTTTTTGTTGGTCAATTCTCATCAGTAAAGTCTTCAGCTGATGATCACTAGCAAACATGGCCTCCCTCATAAGGCTGGGTGTGCCAGGAATGGAACAAGACATGGAATGATGGACAATACACTTTACCAGAAGCCAGGCATCCTGAGTTTTAATCCCACTGGATGTGTGATTTCACACACTTCTCTGGACCACAATTTTCAAACACTGGAAATGCATGTTAGGGATATGGGACTACTTCAGTGGTTTTCTTAACTTTTCATTACCAAGGCTCTGTTTATGGAGTGTTTCCCCCTTTACCTTTGTGTTTTCAAACTTTCTGGTTTAATAATGAGAAGAATCATCACCTTTATTTAGAAAGTGCAAAAAAATTGAAAGGCAACAACCAGCTATAACTACCAACAAAATGCACTGGTAACATGAGATAACTAATGCCAAACCCCGGACTGCAATCATTCCATCCCAAAGCAAAGACCCTGGATGTTTCTGTCCCCTACGAAGCTGGTTCTAGGTAAAGCCATGGTTCCCTGTAGACTTACTGAAATAGTGGAAACAGCCAATGAGTTTCTTTCTAAACTTTGAGCCCCTCGAGGCTACATATTCCCCAAGTAGATGCCAATGGGCTCTGAAGTTGCTGAGATTGGTGATTCTGTTTTATCGCTGCAAGTCCTGCAGGAGTATTAGGTTGACCTCTTGCTGAAATTCAGGGATTTCTAACTAGAAAATTATACTGCCTTTACATCTCCAAAAATCGGGGGGAAAATCCAAGATGGCAGAAACATAACAGACATAAACCATGACAGTGCATTTTCAAATGGAAAACATCTATGTTAAATAAAAACTTTGGGGCTACAGATAACTTAGACAGAAGTGAGTATGAGAAAACCAACAGACACTTGGTTGGTGCAGGAAATGCATGCTACAGGTTCCCTTACAGGGCACGAAGCAAAGTTTCCCCGGGTCGATACTTACAAGTAATAGGAGTAGGAATAAGCATTTCTTCTATATATTGATGGGCAGTCAGATGAAGGAAATGTCCAAAAAGGGGGAAAAAGAAAAGACAAACAAGAATTAGATTTATATGAAATCTTGATTCTTAGAAATGCACATAGTATTTCAGCATCCCAAAGCTCAAGGAGATGCAAGTTTCTCTAATCATCTTCGCTGAGAATCAGATACTTTCGGTGGTAGAAGGAGAGAGATAGACCTCTCTTAATGGTGGAGAAATTCATTACTCATGCAGAAAAAGCCATGTCTAATGTTGGCTGTTTTAGTTGTTTGAAAGTTCTCTTCGTATGGTCAACTAAAACTAGCTTCCTTGTAATTATGACTTTTTTGGTCCTGGGTCAGACTTTTCTGGCCTTCTAGAACTATTCTACCACTCTTCCACATGATTGTGCTCTTATGACCTAAGGAAAACCATAATGACTTCTATGTTCTCTGTTTCAGGTCAAACCACATCAGAACCTTTTTAGTAAGGTCATCAGAACCTATTTAGTAAGGTCATGCCAAAAGCAAGGTAATCAGATAGCTAGCATTCAAGATGGCTACCCAACAATCCACACTCTCCATACGCATGCTCATGTGTACTGCCTTCCCACACTGAACCAGGACTGGCCCTATGTGACCAACAGGATGTGGTAGGAATTACATTCTGGGACTTTCTAGGATAGGTCAGAAAGAAGACTTGGAGCTCTGTCTGGGTCTTCAGAACTCTCAGTTGGAACCCTGACTCTCCACGTAAGAAATCCAAGTATCCTGAGGTTGCCGTCCTGAAAAGACCAAGTGGAGAGATGCTAAAATTGCATGAAGAGAGACATCCAGCCAGCCCCTGCCAGTTGGATTATGTCAACAGAGACCCTTGGTATCATGGAACAAAACAAGTCATTCCCTTCAATCCCTGACCGATGCACAGATATATTTTATATTATAAATAAGTCACTAAATTTCAGGTTTGTTACATATCAATCATCAGAACAAAATTCAAACTTTATCACTAAGAACACTGCACTAAGAGAAAGGAATTCCAACCTTCAATCTGAATGAACTACAACTTGAATAAATTCTCTGTGCCTTTATTTCCTTATCTGAACCTCACAGGAGTTGAACTAGGTCATTAGTTTTCAAACTGTGTTTGTAGGATCCTGTGGGTTCTGTACAGTAGCCTCACTGAAATGGGAGAGAGGGAAACTAAGCAGGTAGGACTGCTGGTCCCCCACCATCCACAAAAGCCAGTACTTCTCTATTTTTTTTTCTATTTTATAAACTGAAGTTGCATTTAAAATTTCACATGACTAAGAATTCCACTCTCCAAAATGAAAAATCACTACCTGAAATCTCTTTCCAAGATGTTCCTTCTAGCTCTTGGCTTCTGAACAATAAAAAATGCAAACAAGTCCATGATATTCCTTTTGTTATAACTTTTTATATTTTGTAGGAAAATAAATAGGAATGCTTTTATCTTACAGACTTAGCCACACTGACAATAACTGATACATTTGTGGATTGAGAAAAATTGCTGATAATTAAGGTCCCCAAATATCCATCTGAATAGGCAAGAATAGTTCCCTTCCCTCTAGAGTTATTTGGTTAATTGCAACTGTTATCCCAGTTGCTTGGCTCAGGAATATGCAGTCTTTATATCTGTAGTGTGGGAACATGTCCTCAGAGCTTCAAATTTCTCCCTCTTGAGTAGGAAAGTAGCCAAAGTCCCCTAGGCAGGGCCACCTCTAGGCTTTCTCTTATTCATCAGGAGAGCCCAACTCTAGCTCCAGAAGGAAAGTGATTCTGAGAGCTAAGAAGTTATGGCAGAAAGGAAGCCCCATGTATACTTGGGAAGCTGAGCCAGGGAAAATGAGCCACAGTGCAGAAAGATCTGGTCACTCATAAAACCATTCAACACCTTGGGTCAAAGGAAGAGCAGCCCTAGGTGATGGAAGCGGTGAGGAATGCCCTGCTCTAATGGGTGGGAGTTGGAAGAGCCCATGCAAGTCACCATATCCCCCTTGCCAACCATACAGGTTCACAATGTAAGGAAACCATTCCTCACCTTCATGGCTGGCTCTGTGGTCCTGTGCCTAGAAATGTGATTCTTTGGGGAAGAAAGCTAGAGTTCCATTTTATGAAGACTTCTCCATATTGTCAAGAACAGTAGCTGAGATTTGAGAGGGCAGGGTTCTGATCTCAGCTCTTTCACTTGCTCACTGTTACATCCTGGGCAAGTCAGTTCCTCCCTCCAGACCGCTGTTTCCTGATCCACGTACCAAGGTGAATGGCATGGATGACTGCCAGCCTAAACAGCTTTGAGAAGTGGAAATATGTCTTTGTGTCCCAGCACCACCACTTGCTAACTGCATGGTTTTGAATAAATCACTGAGTATCTCTGAGTCTCAGTCTCTCCACGTCAAGGTTGGGGGCAATAATTGTCTATCCCCAAGAGTCTTTGTGGGCATTAACATTAATCTAAGTTGTATTCAAATTGTATGTGATATATAATAAAGTATATTAAGTAAATCATATTAATCCAAATTGATATTAGACTATATTAATCTAAACACCTGACATTAGTAGTCCTCAACAAAGGGGAGTTCATGTCCCTGCCTCATCTACAGATATAAGGTTTACTGCTTCTCACTCTGGTGACCAGGAACAAAGTGTTCATCTCTATAGGAATGTTAAAAATCATAATAAAATAAGAAAAGATACTTATGGAGCACTTACTATGTATCAGACATTGTCCTAGGCTCTCATACGTTAACTCATGTATTCCTCACAACCACCCTGACAGATGGGTATTATTATCATCCCCACTTCACAGAGGAAGAAATTGAGGCAAAGAAGCTTTATGTAATTTGCCTAAGATCAAGCAGCTAGTAACCAGATTTGATAGCAACATGGCTGCAAAGTTTGTGTTCTGGACCACTAGCCTGTGCTGTCCATGAAGAGGTAAGAAAGCAGATGTATGTTGAGCAACACAGTGGGTCTGGCACTGAGATGAGACACGCTTTAAATCTTTTAATCCTCCCTACCACCCCATGGAGCAAGCATTATTCTTCTCATTTTTGGTTGAGGAATCTGAGGCTCTAAGAGGTCACTAGGTCTATTGCCTTGTGTAGTTTGGAACCACCAGCTGCAAGGCCTCCATCCTGAGCCAGATGTCCTCGCCATCAACAACCCCTGGCTGCACTCAGTATTCTGTACCTTCTGGCTTTTCTGCCTTCACCCTTCAGGATTCACCTCTGCCGGGCAACCTCCTCATGACAACATACTTCCTTACTTTCAAACCACCTCTTCCAAGTAGCTTTTCTGAGTTATCCTGGTTGTCACCAAAAGCCAGGTGCTATCCTGACCCAGCTTCAAGTCAACTCCAGAAGAACAGCAACTGGCAGGCTTCTATTAATTGAGTAGCTTTTCCCAATTATATTGCAAAGTGTTCCAAGGCAAGGATTACAGTTCTTTACTGTGTGGCCACAACACAGTATACATGTGTGTTTTCTCTCAGGCTTGAAGAAGATTTCCTGAAGGTCTAAATTTACAAGGATACAGTGATGTTGCAAGTAACAGATTGCCTGAGACCAAATATCTTGAGCAGGAAGACAGCTGTGCTTAGAAAAAAACAAAAAAACTCCAAACTTAATAAATCACATACTACAGAATCTTCTTTTCAGCTGGCTAACAAGGCTGACTCAAGGTACAGCTTTCCTTTGTTCCATACTACTTAAACAGGACTAAGTTATCTATTTAACCATCTGTTTGACCATCTACCCATCCAACTAGTTCATAAACCCACCCATCCACTTTTCTATCCATCCATGCATGCATCCAACCATCCATCCCTCCATCCATCTAACCAACCATCCACCTATCCACTTAGCAATGTATCCACCCACTACTTCATCTAGCCTATAAACCCACACACTCATCTACCCTTTCATCTGACAATCCATCCATCATCCACTCATCCATCTTTCCATCATCAATTCAGCAAACGTTTCTTAAGAGCCTACTACATGCCTGTCCCTGCAGGTTCCAGAGATAGAAAAACAAATGAGATCTTGATCCAGCCCAAATGTCTGATCAGAGAGGCCGATAAGAAACTTGTAAAACAAAGAGTAATAAGAGTTACCACTTAAACAGCAGGAGGTCGGGGAGCGGAGCAAGATGGCGGAGGAGTAGGAGACCTGGATTTCGTCTGGTTCCAGGAATTCAGCTGGAAAGGGATCAAACCATTCTCAACACCTACGAACTCAACAGGAGATTGAAGAAAGGAATAGCAACAACTCTCTGAACAGAAAAGCGACCACTTTCTGGAAGGTAGGACGTGCGGAGAAGTGAATCCGAGGCGATATTCCAGAGGACAGACAGCGGGGGAGGGGACCTCCGTCAGCCGCTTCTGGAAAGTGATAGAGCCGCGGAGCACAAAATCGGAACTTTTAGAAGTCAGCTCCGCTGAGGGACGTCACTCTGGTGGCTAAGCGGGGGGTGGAAGCCTTCCGGGACAGTGTGGTCTCAGGACCCTCAGGGTCACAGAAAGACCAGGGGTGCCTGAGTGCGGCAGAGCTCCCAGGGATCAGAGCGGGGAAGCCGGCTGCAGAGACGGAGCCGAGGCATGGGCTCTCAGCTCGGGGTTGCCACAAACTGTGATCGGCGACACAGTCGGGCCACTGCTCCTCCAGCAGGGACCCAACAAGCGGCAGATGCGGGGAGACTCCCCTTCCTCCCCCAGGAGGAGCGGCGAGGGAGCGCACCGCAGGGATCTGCTGGGTTTGGAGACTCCACACAGGGTCGGGTGCCAGAGATAGAAACGCTCGGTCACAGGCCGGGTGAGCAGGGAGTGTGGCCGGAGACTGGGGACACGGGAGTGACTGCTTTTCTCTGGGGGCGAACTGAGGAGCGGGGCCCCGAGTTCTCGGCTCCTCCCAGGCAGAGATTGGGAGGCTGTCATTTTCACTCTGGTCCTCCAAAGCTGTACAGAAAGCTTGCAGGGAACAAAAGCTCCTGAG